TTTTGGGAGTGAGTATTTATAGAGCTACGGCGTTGGTTGCGTTGTCGTGCCTGGCAAACCGTTTTTATGCTCTTCCGCCCACATGCACATCAGTGCTCGCTATAATAAATCAAAGCTGAAAGGAGCTGTAAATTTTTGTAAAATACAGGCGCCCAAACCCAAAGATGGACAAGCCATGTATCCATGTTTGCTTGCCATTGTATGGGATACTGAGGCGCGCCGTTGCCAGCTGAAACCCTTCCGTAATTGGAAAGAGGTTACAAGGGCGCATGGCATTAATCGTATCTCGTTATCACAGATCATGGCGCCTATGTGGACAAACATGACCCTCAATCCATTCCTCACCCACCTCTCCTGTAGCGCCTTTGACTGGGGCCAACTGCCTGTCACGAAAAAGCGGGTTCTACAAGATTCACAAAATTACCAATCTGAGGTTGCGCTCTGTTGACTATCTTCCCATTGACGCGCTTTCCTATTTTCCCTGCTCAACAGTCTTAGAAGTGGACAGGATTTCTTATGATATGGACACGAGCAAAGGTTTCTTGGAGTGCAGAGTTTTTCGAGGGCTAGGATCTATGAGTCCCTCATTGGCAATCTGGAGGGTCTATGTGACAGGGCCGATGAAGAGGGGTTGATTGCGTTCCCCGGCTGAGAGAGTTCATATTCTCTGAAGACTCTGCTTCGCTGGCAGATATCCAAGCGCTTAACGCTTGCTTGCGACATGTTCGTGCTCTTACCTTGTTGTGTATTACTTTAATCTTCCTACGTTTGGTCACCTGTTTCGTCGCGTCTAAATCTAGCCTGTCAATCATCAAAGTTCTATTTGACACAAAGAACCCGTGCTGGGCATATACCATGAGACTTTGGTAGGACTCCTATGCGACGCTCTCGCCTCGATACGCGTACGAAAGGTAATCGAGACTGGTCGATAAACTTTCCAGCTCTTCGATTGGTGAGAGTCGACGTCTATTTCAGCTCGAGTGGCCAGGTTGGCAATCTCCTCGCCCTTCCTACAGCCCTGATTCCTGGATACATCAACCCTTTGAGCGATACGCTGGGGGGTCTCTTAACAACATCCGAGATAGAATTTTCAGGGTATTGTCTCTCTTTCTAGGTAAATTTCTTAGGCATAAGTAGGACTCTGCCATGTTGCTTTGGTGAAAACCACATCTGGAAGGTATCTTGATCATGACAGCGTCCTGATTGGAACCACATGTGTTCCGACGATCTCCTGACCCTGACTAAGGCTTGAGATTGGTTAAAAGAATCTACTCGTGGGAAGCCTTTCGTTCTGTTCCTCCCAATCAACGTTCACATTGTTTGATTCTTATGACACAATGTTGGACGCATCTCCCATTTTTCCAGCTGAAGTATTTCAGCTTATAATTGAAGAACTCTTATCTGATTCAGAGTCCAGCCAACTGGACAGAATCCGTGCTCTTGTGGCATGCAGCCTGTCCTGTACGGCACTTGCTTCACTGAGTCGCCCATACATCTTTCAATCTGTGAAATTTGGAGCGTACGTAGATCACCTCGGCCCAATAAAGCCAGATGGATTTGCCAGGTTTCTGAAGGAGAACCCACATTTTGGCGTGTACATGCAGCGGGTTCACTATGTCATTGGCAAAGCGGATGTCCCCAGCGTTGAACAATGATATTTGTCCCGATATCCAATGAAGACCACAACACGACATAGCTTGACAGCTGACCAAAACATGGGCAATCATTCTATCAATGGGCTACTCCCTAACGTTAGATCGCTTCAAATCTCGCACATTTTCACCGATTTCCTCGGAGTCCATTGCGACCTTCACAGTCACCTCAAGTGCAACCTGCTCGCAAAACAAGTCTTGTTGAATTTCTCCGAGAGAAATCATCTCCGCGAGATTACAATGGGCCACTTGGAAGTTCCTATGTGGACTTTAGCAAGCCATTACCCGGAGTTAACACACCTTAAACTGACCTCATGTCAGCTTAAAGAATGGACAGATCCCAGCAAGGCCCACATCGAGAACGTTGACCCCAATATCTTCTTCCAGCTCACGCACCTAACCTTGCTGTCCTGCACAGGGATACCCTATGATCTGATGTCCTATCTCACTTCCGTGACTGCGTTTACCATGCGGTCGTGTTTGTTTAGGTAACGATGGACGCGTGATGTAGTAGATGGTTCTTTTTAATTAGGGTAATTTAAAATGTTATAATCATGTATGTAGCTTGCCTATATGGCTTGTTCATCTGGACCTGTGAGCTCATTCATGGATCCTTGGAGGTGTACTTTTAGCGGAGTGTGATCGATTGGTATGTATAAGGTGTATCTCGGAAATCAACGTTGCTTCAAAAGACTATTAATTAGTTCACATTTGTTCATCAAACGGGGATTCGAGGGAGTGAATATACTTTTGTTTTGGAGCGAGTTGAACATCGACGGCGATGTGTACCACAAGTCAGACTCAAAGGTCAATCAATAAAATGTCAGATTTTCATGACAATTTCATCATGATTAACCAGAATCGCTACACATACTAGGTTCGCGGTGGTAAAAAAACTGGGAAAGCAATTCGAAAACAAAGCAAATGCAAGACTATGGAAAGCGCGTCAATCTCATACTATAGTAATCATCAGAGTCACCACGATCTAAGGACGACTTAAAGGCCAAGAAGGGTCAAGTATACTGGATCCACGCCACGGAATGCGCCAAAATCACGGCAGTATGTGCGGAAATGCTGACAGATAGTTTGAATCTGTGGAGAAGGGGGTAGTAATGCGAGCATATCCTTGACTAAAGGTGAGGGAGGGAGGGATGAATTATTAGTCAATAAACATGCAGCTCTATTAATACAGCGGCATGACTTACTCAGCTTGGCGGAGGTGTGAGTGAGGTTTGTCGCGTCGCCACCAGCATTAGGTCTGCCTGAGATAACTGCGCTATCAAGCTGAACGAAACAGATGTAAAGCCTTGTTCGATATCCACGTAGCGTCTGGGTGTTTTCAGCCGAAGAGGACGAGCTGATAACTCCGTCGAAGCCTCTAAGCACATTGGTCAGGAGGTAACTTCCCGGTCCTCCATGAATCTCGTTTGTATTCGGGAGTGTTGAAGCACTGGGATTATTCCACGACATGATTCGATGGGAGGTCTGATATGTAACGACCGAAAACTTCCAAAAAAATCTAGGAAATGTTGGAGTGGTGTGATGATACGAGAGAGAGCTGATCCTACGACGCCACTGAGGACGATTTTATACGCAAGAGATGCTCCATTGTTCAACGTCTTCCCCTCGTGCCCTCATTGTCCTAGCAGTATCGTCGATGGTTAGGGTATGCGGACAATGGCCCAACCACCGTCCATTACAACAAATTGAACAATGGCCACTCCGTGAAAAGCCGAGATAAACTGTATTACTCCCGGATTCACGGTGATGCCCATGGCCGAACTTGAATGATATCTGGCGATGTGGAGCAAGGCTGGTTATCACGTTTTTATGAAGGATATAAAGACAGCTCTAATACAAATGGCTCTCCGACGATACGAATAACGGTGTTAGGCCGTTGGTTCCGTTGGTAAGGGCGAGGATGACTCTGACCATCGACTTAGGGGCCAAGTGACAGGCTCTCGGCATCAGGATTACAAAGCTAATCCCACAACCAAAATCAGACATCATCATCAGATGGATCCTCCTTCGATTGCCTTCGTCCCTTCGTAAACGTGGAGCTGAACTAGGAGTCGTCGGGGCGAATTATGTTCCCCTGTATTATAAGGTGTCGGAATTGAGGTAAGCAGATTACCTAGGCCTACAGCGTTGCCTCCCAATGGCATCTGATGTCTCTATGGTTCTCTCAAATTAATGCGAGATCTATTGTCGACACCTTCACATCTTGAAACCATGACTGAATACAGAATAATCAGTGCAAATCTCTAGGTTTGACCGCACCACCAATGCCTGCTACACAGTCAGAGATTGTGCAAAAATACTTAGGCTCTCATCCGCTCTCAGTATAGCCAATTCCATCTCACGACGTCTTCGAATGAATTCACATTCACACACAGGCAGCTGACCTCGCGGGAATGGAGGTGGGGCTATGCAAACGCTATATAAACTGTCGTTTGACATATGAGGGAAAATCTTCCTTCCTTTCCATCCTCCACGATCACCTGCGATGAAAAACAATTTATTATTTTCGATACCTCTGGCTGAAGCACGATACATATCATGACATTTTAAGGCCATACCCTCACCTCCAAAGCCAATCGCCTAGCCTGACAAGGCAACATGGTCGATTAGGATTATCGAGTGTTGGGAAGATTGACTATGAAAAGACATAGATTGTATTTTTCATTCCGAGCGTAGACTCTAGGGCGTATCGGTTGTCAACGGTGCATATATTCGTAGGTTACACATTCAAATATTCTAGGTTGATAAACGTCTACAATACCATTTAAATGCATCAGACCTACGAGACCTCATCTTCGCTGTTGAACTTGAACTCTGATTTGGAAAGGACATGGACAATTTTCTACAATGGCATTCCCTTCGAATTTCCTGTAGAGACCACCCACTAGAGTGAGAGCGATGGGTAGATCTGGTTAGCAGAAGGATGTAAGCGCCCTCCTGAATCCGAAAGCAGCTTACAGCCAAACCACTGATGAGCACCACACCGGTATCCCCCTATTTTTCGGTTTTTCTCTTATTTTCCGTTTATTTCTATTGGCATCAGCGTATCGTTTACGCGCCGAGCGCTCTTGGTTTCACTAGATTCGAGTATTTTCCTTCTCTTTCCATGATTTTCCATACTTTTACATATATCATATACCCTGATATTAGTACAATGTTTGCGTAATCTGGACCTCAAGTGTTTACAGTAGAAGAAACCTGTACGGATGGCATTTTTCTCTTTTAATTTCAACACCAGTCGCTGGCACCTCTATAGATATCGCTACAGCCCTCAAGATATAAGGCGACACCTGTGCGCACAAAGAGGCACACGCGATGACTAATACTGGGCGCATGGTGTAGTTGGTTATCACGCTCGCTTAGCATTCACTACATGGTCTGCGAGAGGTGTTGGGTTCAATTCCCAATGCGTCCAATGTTTTGAGCTTTTTCTACTTCAATAGAGATTTTTGTCCAAAGATAAGTACCCTCGCAGATATGTATTATTTACTGCAGCCCCACTTTTCACCTGGAAGGGTCTTTAGGATACCAGACTTCATGTGAACTTTGTAGGTGTCGCAGTTTTTAAGGCCGTACCGTCGTAGTTGATCTCCAGAGGCGAATTCGAAGTCAGCCTACATTTTTATGGAAAAGTTTCACGTCTATCTTGGCTCTGACGAGTTCAATATCGAATGATTTCAACTTCAAGGGTGCAAACATTCGTCGGAGTGAGAAAATCCGACCAACTTCGAGGCCATCATCGGGTGATCATCCCAGTTAAACATTCAATCCAGTACTATCAATAGATGAGTCGAGACTCGGAGGCATACCAGCCTACTTATTATTACATACCTCATTCAATAGCGTGTTTATCCTTGGTTTATCCTATCCCGTCGATACCAGGGACCTTAGGGTGAATAGGGGTCACATACAGTTGGAGTAAATTATCAGAGAAGGTTCGGCAATCAGGTAATATATTAGCACCAGACATTGAAATTGCGAAGTTGAGTGGCCATGTCAATGAAGTGATCTGCCTGCCTTCTCTTCCTCACTCATCCCCAAGTTACCGTCCAGAGAGGCGATTGACATGCTGGACGACTATCTTTGCCTCAATGCTTCCTTACATACAGCCCTCATACGGGTCGTGTTACCTTCTGCGTTGTGCGTTGCTCTGATTTTCAAAGTCACGCTCTTCAACGCACCATCTAAGCGCGGCGCCCCACTTCCCCCAGGACCGAAACCACTGCCCGTCGTTGGAAATGCCCCTCACATACCTGCTGAAAAGCCGTCGAAAAAGTATGCCGAATGGGCAAAAGAGTACAACAGTGAGTCCGATTCATGTTAGGTTGTCGTACCAGTGTCCACACTGACGCTATCTCAAGGTGACATTATACATCTTGAGGCCTTTGGAAACCATTTTATCTTTCTTCATAACCTTGAAGATGTGGAGGAGTTGTTCGAGCGGAAATCGGGGACGTATTCCGATAGGCCTCCCATTCACACAATGGGTTTGTATGTATATCTAATTCGTTCATTCTAATCCGAGGCTCAAGCGCTTCTAGGATTGGATTTGGGTACAATATCGCCTTTATGCGCGCAGGAGAGCATTGGAGGAAACGCCGACAGGCTGCGCAGCAAGTACTCAGGGTAGAGACAATCAAGAACATTCGTCCACTTCAGGAACAGAGACTAGAGGACATGCTTCTGGGGCTCATCCGTTCCCCAGACAGGTTTGAAGATCATCATCAACGGTCAGACTCGTGCCAATGACTTCAATTACACATAACTAATATTCATTGTACGCACAGCTTCATCGTATCTCTTTCAACTGGTATTATGTACAACTATACCCCCAAACCTCTCAATGATGCCGCAGTTGATGCCGCAGTGCAGAGCTTTGAGGTTGGGATGAAGGTTATCTCCCCAGAGGGGAGTATGGCCAACGTTTTTCCATCGCTTAGGCACGTACCTTGGACCTGGACTCAACGCTTGGCAAAAGAAACAAAAAGGCTTGGGGCTATTATGAAGCAGGGTCCTTTGGAAAAGGTTCAGGGCGACGTGGTGGGTGATCATCTCAACTTCTAGAATATGTATCTCATCATCAGCAATATACTGCATGCGCCCTACTGTTAGGCCAACGGGTTGGGCGGACTATCGTTCATAGGGCAGATGCTGGAAAGAAAAGGGTTGACTGGGCTTGAACCAGACGAAGAAGATGTGTTTCGATGTAGCGCACACTATGCAAGCTGGTGGTTCTCACATGGTGCGTTCGTCGCTCCCTCTACCCAAGGGGCAATTATTTGATCATCAAACAGGCGATCTCTGCAACACAAACCTTTTTCTACCTCATTGCAACCCATCCTCATGTTCAATGTAAAGCTCAGGCTGAGCTTGATAGCTATATTGGATCTACTCGTCTGCCGAATTTTGATGACCGGCCTTTCCTCCCCTACATCGAAGCGATCTACAGAGAAGTTCTCAGGTGGGCGCCCAGCGCTCCAATGGGCGCTCCTCGATTGGCACCAGAAGATGAACTCTACAAGGGATATCTGATTCCCAAAGGTAAGTACGCTGCTGTCGACTTTGATTGTGCTTACCGATTCTCCTGACAGGCAGTATTATTATGGCCAACATTTGGTATACCATATTCTCCGCGGTTATTCGTTGTCTTAATAGTACTTTTATATAGGTTCTTAACGCACGATGAAAGAAGATATGTCAACCCGATGGATTTCAATCCAGACAGATTCTTCGACAAGGAAGGAAACTTAAATGATGACGACCGAGTTTTGGCTTACGGATTTGGGAGACGTCTGTGCCAGGGACGCTATCTTGCAAGCAATACTGTGCGTTGAACAAACTTGATATTACTGATGCGTAATGCTAATATACGCTGAAGCTGTGGTTGATGATGGCTTCCGTCCTTACATCTTTCACAATCATGCCCAAACGAGATAAAGAAGGTAGAGAAGTGCCCATCAGCGAGGAGTTCCTGGAGGGCGGATTCATTACGTGCGTTCTCTTAACCTGTCCACTAATGCCCTCATTCATGCTTGTGGGTGTAATGTAGGCAAAAATCCCCATTCGAGTGCGATATTACCCCAAGACCGGGGTGGAAAGCTCATCTCGAAAGCATGAGCGCGTCTAGTGACGTGTAGACACAAACGACGCGCCGTTTAGGATAGCCTGGGGGCAAACAGGAAACATTGACGAACGATCTAACTCAAATAAGACGTCGCGTGAGCGATATCGATATGGATTATATAGTGATCTTATTCAATTTTGTGGAATGGATAAATGAGACACATAATCAAAATTTTCAGCGCGGGAGGGCGTGTATGAGTGAGATCCTTCTGAGCTCGTCGCAATTAGACAGCGAGATTGTGCGAGCGTTGCGCTTCATACTCTGGCCATGGGTCATCGTGAATTTCGCTGTTGCTCAGTGCTCAGCGCTTACCATGCGTTATCAAAAGTCAGCAGGACAACCCGAACAGCTCAGACTGGAGCATCCATACTACTCTTTGAGGCATTTCTTCTATGACATTGCCGATTTTTCTCAGGTGAACGAGGTCGACGTAAATGTAGCCATAGGAGGTCGCATACATAGTGCACTGAGAGCTTCTCGGTCTCACCATCACACATCGTGCCTCCTTACACATCACTTTCATCTGCGAGTTGAAGGGAATAACAGTCGAAGTCGATCCTTGCCCTTATTTGAGGCGCAAGCACATGTATGCCACTAGGTCTTCCTAACACACAGACCCCTGAGGAGCTGACTTCCCTGCATGACTCGTGCTATTTATGAAGCTACAAGCCGGATAACAGTGACGCATGATGATAGGCTATCAAGACTGTGATACATGGCCACCAGAGTGTGCCGATGGGAGACCTGGAGTCGTTGAACTTGCTGGCGAGGCAAATGCACGTGGACTTGTAGGCTTCAGGACATGCTCATGTGTAAGATTTTGAATTTGCAGCTGCTCCAAGGTTTAATTTTTTATAGTAGGTTCCAAGCAATCGAATTTGACAACAAATGATTTGTTAACCCGAGAAGCGCGATGGGCGCCCCGGCCAAGAAACGCAGCACGTATGATTTGGTTTTTGTGCCTTAAATATAATTTCTGATGAGCCTTGCTTAGCGGAACAACACCTTCTTTCGCTGTTGCGTATATTAAAGGATCAGTAGTGGATACTTATGTATACAAGTATATCGATAGCTTGGGAGAGGGTCAGGTTGAGAAGGCGCAATGGGGGGAGAAGCATATCCCCGTTCTCCACCTCGGTACTATAGAAGCTTTTCCGATCCTTGTATGTCAGATAGAAGCCCTGGAGGCTCCAACGGCTAGCTCTGCCGACACCCAGCGTAGTCATATATCCTACATACTCTCACAACCTGAAGTAATTATACTCACTACCGACGTCATATTTCTTCGGCATAGGTCTGGTGAAATATCCCCCGCTATACCCCAGTATTTATTTTTATGTGTATGGATGCTCGTGATCCTCGTGTTACAAATTTGGACTGTCCTTAGTCTCCAATCTAAAGCAAAGATATCGATTTCTCTGATCGGTTATTCTACGCTCGGTTTTCTCGGTGATTAGCTTGAAATAATGTAGGGTGAATGCTATTGTTATATCACTGCTTGGACAATAAAAAGTGCAATGTTTCTGTGGGGCTTTTCAGCACCAAAACCCCAGATTGCAACCAGCCGAGAGCCACCACATCTTACAGCCATGAAATTCTCTACTTCTACCACTCTCGTACTCTCATTCATCGCCAGTATTGTGGTGGCTCAGGACGTGGGTCAACCGTGCCCAGCTAATGAGGCAGGTAGGTATATCATTTCCGTCTAGAGACTTGATTTATGAAGAAGGCTGCGTACTGATACTTCACGTCACAGGCGCCGTCGGCTGCGCAAATACGCCCAGTGTTAACAATGGCAATGCTTACATCTTCCAATGCAATGGCTTTGAGTTCGTACTGTTTGCCCCTTGTGCAAGTCCAACTGGATGCAAGGTCCAGGGTCCCTTCAATGCTGTCTGCGTTTGATCAGGTTGGTCGTTGCTTACTCGACTTTGCATGGCGATAACTTAAATTAATTTACAAACCGAAAGCTGATATGAGTGGATATGTCCTCAATTTTAAATATCTGAATTTATGAACTTGTAGAAATATATAGCTACTTGTGACTTACCCATGTGATCACATTTCGTGTTGGTAGTACCAGTTGTCCCACCGTCAATATGTCCGAATTATAAAGCATTATCATTGTCGAAGCCCACCCCTTCGAACGAAGCGCTCGCCGCTGACCCTGTGAATTGCCATTTTCGGTTCGGCCATCAAAATCAGAACCCAACCAACAACCATCGTCATCTCATCATACGGGCTCGTGCTGACAACTCCCTCCACATTACCATAATTATCGTAAATGACCC